TTGGGGGGGTTTTTTTTGTTTTTTTGAGAATCTAGGGGATTGAGGAGAGAAGCTGCTACCCAAGATTTGTAGTAAGTGCTCTTGCAGAGTATTTGTCTAAGAGCAGGGGTAGAAGCAGTGACCTGGTGTGTACAGGACGGGACCAAGTTGCATGGTTCTGAAATCATCTTTGTATCTGCTTTTTCTTTTTTGACTGAGTTTAGAAGGAAAAGTAAGAGAAAGTAGTTAATGCTCACAGACTAAAAAGATTATGAAAAAAGTACACCTCCCTGTCAGGGCAGAATAGGTCTGCTACAATCCATACGCTGGCTTGCCCATAGCAGGAGAGTCACAACACTAATAACCAGGCCGGTCTTTCCCTGGAAAGGTCCCTGGAAGTAGAGTTATCACCACCTGACTCCTCGTACACAGCTCTGTCTGCTTCAGACTGGGGGCCCCGTTGTGACAAGGTGTGTGGCCCCTGGAGGTGTGACAAGACAGGACACACCCGTAACCAAACCCAGTTGCAGGTTCCACTCCCGCAGAACAGGGTTTTCCGCAGAGAGCAGCTCCGTGTTGTCAGGGCTCAGGAACAAGCCTGGAGCTGAACAAATGGCACCGCCTTCCTGCCAAGGATTTTCAGAATTCCGTGGGGTGTGGCAGCAGCCATGGGCGGCACAAGATTTATATCGCGGTTGGTTTGTCCGCGCGGCGCTTTACAGTGAACGTCTGTGCCTACTGCCTTTGTGTCTCGGCAGCGTCTTCAGGAGGAAATCACCAAGCTCTCCCCAACGCTGCAGAGAAACGCGCTCTACATCAAATCCGTGAGTGGTGCCTTTGTTGTTCCCTTTTATGCTTCTTTCCACCGCCGTCAGGTTTTCTGTCCCGAAACGGGCGGTTTGTGCCGCAGCAGCGCCTGAGGGGTGTTTACAGCGCCTGCAGGGCCGCTGCCAGTAGGACCAGTTGGAAATTATTTAATATGTTAAAATAATATATCCCTTATTTTCTCCATCTTTTGTAGTCTAAAATCAGTCGCCTGCCAGCGTACCTGACCATCCAGATGGTTCGTTTTTTTTACAAAGAGAAAGAATCTGTGAATGCCAAAGTCCTCAAGGTGAGCGGGTTTTCTGCAGCTGGATTTCCCCTTTACGCTTCCCGGCGAGTTTGTAGTAGACGGCTGATCCTTGGAGGCTGTTTGCTCGGCTCTTGGCTTTTAAACTGCACTTAACGATGCCCAACAGCGCCGTTGCTTTGCTCCCCGTCACGGTGGGGCCTGGCAGACCCTACTGCCAAAACAGGCTGGGGGAGGAGGTCGGGGGCAGAAGTGAGTTTGCTCCAACACCATCAGGAATGCGTTTCGGTCTCCCTTCACCGGTGGATCGGAGGGAGAGTGGTTGTTTAGGAGAGGGCTGGGATTTCAGCCGCTGGAGGGTGCTCTGAGGTTGATGAGAAGCATTTACGGCAACCATCGCTTCCCGTATCAGCGTCTGGCTCTCTGGAGAGGGAGACGGGGCATGTCGAGTACCAAATGACACTAATAATCTTTACGCTTTTTCCTGCCCAGGATGTTAAATTCCCTCTCATGCTGGATGTCTACGAGCTCTGTACGCCAGACCTTCAGGAAAAGATGGTGTCTTACCGATCAAAATTCAAAGATCTAGAAGACAAAAAAGTCAATCAGCAGCCAAAGAATGTAAGTTTCCTGGTCGGTTTGATGAAGTCATGCAGCTGAAATTGGGTACCAATAAGGACTAGAGAAACCCCGGCTCCCTTAAATGTATTCTTTCGTTATTTAGCAGTCAAACCCCTCGGCACTGAGCCACAGAGCTTTTCTTTGTGAATTTTCATGAAAACACAGTGTCTGCTTCGATGTGACTGCTTGATGAGAGATAGACTCTGCTCTAAAAACTTGGTAAATGGTTCCCTCTCCCACCCTGTCCCTATATTCTAAATCTGCTCCACCCTTCGTTAAAGAAGGGGAGAAAAAAAAAAAAGTAAGCTAAAACCGTAGTGGTTTAGCCACTTTTTAAAGTTTGCTACTCGTTTCCTGGCCAGGCTCCTGGCAGTTTCGTGGCAACGGCTGACCAAGGCTGGCGTCTCCTCGTACGCAGGCAGGAGCGAGGGCAGAGGGCTGTTGTACACCGGAGCGTGCTGGCTCCTGGGGTCAGTCGCTGCTATTTTCTTGTTGTCGCCTCTGCCAAGTCCCTCGCAAGGAATAACATCTTCAGTTGGAGAATGGGTTTTGGGCTCCAACCCTGCCAGTCTGGTGGGCGAAGAGTCTAGGCGATGCATGCTAAATGGCATACTTGATGTTAGAGAGTCATCTTGTTGGGATGAGGCTTCGGGATGCCTGGCTGGAATTACAGCAGCAGAACTTGTTTGGAGTTGAACGAAGAACTTTAAGGCTTAGAAACATCTTTAAGCACACAGAGAGTCGGTATTTGATGTGACTGTGCTCAAGCTTTCTCAAACCCCTCCCATGTTAACTCAGCGTGTTCTGTTCTTTAGTCTAGTAAAAGCGATGGTGCGCAGAAAGAAGTTAAATATGAGCCGTTTTCTTTTCCTGACGGTGAGTAGAGGGAATTAAATCTCTTTGAAAGTAACTCTTTACCTGTGTTTAAGTGGACCTGATGGCAGGAATATTTTGAGAACCTGGGTTATTTTTAATGCCTTTGAAAATTAACCTTCAGCAACTGACAGAAATTTAAGGGGAGGAAAGATGGGGCGAGTCAAAACGCTGTTGCGATAGTCGCAGACCTGTCACCCATCAGAGGCCTTGCTGTGCACCCGAGGACACGTGGTCTGTACCTTGTCCGTGGGTGGCGGAAATCGACCCAGAAACCGGCCCTAGACCTGTAGAACTGCGGAGGTGGTGCTCATGGGGCCTTGGCATTCGCCCTTATGTGGTGCAGAAAGTGCTCTGGAGGCCTTGTTGAGCCGAACTTGACCCCTCGGTCTGTGGGTGACGCACCCCATGAAGAGCTGGGGGCAGCGTTGACGGGCTGGAGAGCGCAGGGAAAACGGGATGGGCTGGAGCACGGAGAGGCGCAGTTAAGGTGCGCTGGGGCCCGTAACACCCCTCGTGGTACCCAAGCGCGTCAGCCCTTGCAGGTTGGGGGCTCGCCCCAACCGCAGGCAGCAGCTGGTGGTGGAAGGAAGGAGTGGCCAGTCCCACCTGGCTCTACTGATTGCACGCCCCGATACGTGTTTGCATCAGGCCAAGGAACACTACCCTTGCATGAGAGGCTGTCCAGGCCGCTGCTCCTGCTTCAAACCCCCAGTAGCAGCACGGTGCTAGCTCACTGTGCAGAGCTATGGCGCCGTGCCTGCCTGCTCGCTCTTCACCGGGGACTTACGGCTTTTCTCTTTCCCCTTGTTCTTCAGATACTGGTTCCAATAACTGCGGCTATTACGACCTGCAGGCAGTGCTAACACATCAGGGCAGATCCAGCTCCTCGGGGCATTACGTCTCTTGGGTGAAAAGGAAACAAGGTAAATACGTGTGTACGTACCCCCGTTAGCCACCCTTCGCAGCTCCTTTGGCTGAAGGGGCGGTTCAGCCCCCTTGGGATGGCCGTGGGTAAAATCACGAGTCGCTGAACGACGAGTCGTCCCCTCGTTTTTCTTGCAGATGAATGGATTAAGTTTGATGACGACAAAGTCAGCATCGTCACACCCGAAGATATTTTGAGGCTATCCGGGGGTGGAGACTGGCATATAGCTTACGTTCTACTCTACGGGCCGCGCAGAATCGAAGTCATTGAAGACGAAGCTGAGCCGTAGTCTTCCGTGTTAGCTGTTCTGCCTAGGTGTGAAATAAATGTTGATTACTGATCACTTCCTTAACCCCAGCGCTTCAGCCAGGGGAGAGCTGATTCGTTCAAACCCTTTTCAGTGGGAAGAGGGGTATCACTTCAAAAAAAAACTGATCCACCTACCAATTAGTGACCGGACCGTGCCACCCGCCGTGGTGGTGACGACACTTAAAATAGCTTTAACGTCCTGCAGAAGATGATAATTTTTTTAAACGAGCCTCTCCCTGCCCCCCCCCATCCCCCCCGGTGTCATCAGGTATTTATTACACACCTACTCTCACATTCGTTCCTCTTGCATGGTTCATACCACAGTAGCTGCCCATCCTTCGCCCTCCCCGGCCATCTCCTTAGGAAGGGGGAAGGGAAACTGTTGCCTTGTTGCGTAACTCAGTGCTGCTGCCCACAGCCGTGGCTACCATCGGGTATTTGTCCAGCCTGACCTGCTGATTCAGTCTGTTCTGTTGCTGGCATCTCATCACTTCGGAATAAATGGTGATCAACAGCGTGTCTCCGTTCACCAGCGTCACGTCGGGGTAGCGCAGTCAGTACCCGTGTGTTCTCGGGACGCCCATCGGCGCAGTCGCGTAACGAAGCCGCTGTCTTTATGCCATAGGGATCTGCCTCCTCCTCCCCTGGCACGCGTAGGTAACATCCAGTGCGGTGGGTGCCAATGGGGCTTCGCTTGCGGTAACTCCCATTCCTTCCCCCAGGACTAGAGCTGTTGGGGGCGCAGCAGTGGGAAAAGTGTGTCTGTTGGCTGCAGCCAGAGAAGCGCCAGGGTCACACCCACTGTTCCTGTGTACCCCGGAGCCATGGCGCAGGCTCCCCTCCCAGTCCAGGGTTGAGGAGGAGACAGACCACGCCTGTGGCCAGCTGCCGCTCCGCGGAACACTATCCCCCAGCTGTGGGCCCGTGATCAAGGTGTCCCCTCAGCTGCTGTCCACAGCCGGAAGGAGCCAGGGTCTCCCCAGTGAGTCTGACTTCAGCTGTCACCTTCTGATGAGGTCATGCCTGTCAGGTGGTGCAGAATAACCCACTGCAGGCCGTACACCCACTGGTGCCGCCTCAGGAAAGGGGCTCCGAGCTCAGCCAGGAGACGGCTCTGCCCAAATCCTCTCACCTTGAACCCGAGTGCTGGGGTTACAGTTCATTCCCGCAGCACGAAGAACACAACGGGCCGGACATGGCTCCCTTCCGTTGCCTTCGTGGGGGCCAGCCTCGCCCACCCCCCCAGGTGAAGGTAGGCCACATTCAGGAGCCGCCCGTCAGCCCACATGCCCCCCTTCACAGTACGCTCAAGGCCCTTAACCGACTGAAACCCTTACACCCCATCCCTCCCGCCGAGCTGCACCTGCCGCGGGAGGCAAGACGTGGGCTGCATTATTCCCGACGACTGTCCCACACATCAGCCCCCACTGACTTCCCCTGGGAATATTCAATAACCCAATTCCTAATACAGCTAAATCCAAAACCGGGGGGAAGCAGGCACAAAGCCCTCGCCAACGGCTCTGCAGGCAAGAACCCGCCCCTCCAGGCTGGAATCCAGCCTCCCTGCACATCCACAGGCAGGATTCAGTAACGGAAGCAGTACTCTGCAGAGAACAGGTCTGTGCTACCTCGTTTTCCAATCACTCGATACTTTTAGGCAGATTCCACTGAATGACCCAAATTTTACAAGAAACGGCCACAGAACAAGCTGCAGCCAGCTACACCACCACGAAACCTGAGGGAAAACGCCGCAGCCCGTGCCCAACAACTAGCTTTGGCCTTAAAATGAAACCAACGGTCACTTCCCGGTGACCGGGACAAAGGAACTGCCTTCTCGTGACCCTCCAGAGCCAGACACGCCCAGAGGCTGGTAAGTGCCAACACAAACAGGCACAGACTCCCCCCCACTTACTGACACTGTCCGGAGAGAACTGGCTCTCCCGCAGGAGGGCGGGCAGCGCAGCACCCCTCGGAGGGCACCGACAGCCGACGTGGGTCCCCACCACAACCGAAGTGGAATCACGCAGGCACGTTCCGACGCCCTGCAGCTCCCCACCCCGACGGACAAGTCCTCCACGCCTACCCGTGCCCTGAGAAACCCCACTGACCCGGCTGGGCAGCCTCCGACTGTCAACGGCTTGGAGCGACCCCGGCACCGCTGCCGCCTGACTCCGCATCCTCCACCACGCGAGGTGAGGCTTCCTCTTTCTGGGATCAGGATGACTCGTCTTTTCCTCAGGGAATCTGGGCAGCCAAACAATATCATTACAAAGTTTTATCGTTTATTGAACATAAAATACCTATCAAAAAAGCTGTTACCTAGCAACAACAGAAACAACACACAAACTGGTCACAACCGGACACCGCCAACCGCAACAGCCGCGGTCACCAACCGCCATGACCCCAGGACCAGTCGGCGCGAGCAGAGTTAGCCGCTGCCGTCGGCGTCGCTGGTTAGGCTCTCGGCAAGGTCACCTAACCCGGCTTTGCTCAGCGCCGCCATCAGGTTCTCGGGGGTGGCGTTTATGCCCTCCTGGTCCTGCCAGGCCACCAGCAGCTGCTTCGCCCTCATCTTCACGTCCTCGCTGTCCGACTCGATCTGCCGGATGTCAGCGTCCTTCATCTCCAAGTAGGGGGCCAAGGCCTTCCACTGCTCCCCCAGCCTGTTGGCAAACAGCTCGATCTGGTCGCCCGTCATGGCTTTGTCCCGCTGTACCTCCGGGCCTGGGAGGGGGGAAAGGGAGACAGGATCACAGTGAGAGGCAGGGAACGCCTCCGGAGACTGCAAATGGAACCTCCCTTGTCTGCCCTTTGCTTCCCTTCCACCTTTTTTTAGCAGCAGGACTGGGAATAGGGTGGTAACGGTACGATGCAGTCAGTACTTCAAGGAATTTGCCGGCACGAAGATAATAAGCAGAGGCCCTCCGCTCTGCTGAGAAGCCAAGCGCTGCGGTGGCTGCGCTGGTGGGCCTGCAACCACGGGCCCCAACCTACGGCTTTACCACCTCGGTTCCCGTCACACTTCCAAAGAGAAAAACCCTAAAGCCCATCTGTTGTGACCAATTTCTATGTGTATTCTGAATTCCTAACAGATCTCACGCCACCGGAAGAGCCAGCTGGCATGGAGTGGAAGTTTCGACTCTCTGTAGTGCCTCTCCGTCAGTCACACTCAGTTATCCGAGCTAAACTCAAGGGGAAAGAACGGAAGATGACAAACAGCGAGACCACAAACCCACTCGGATCACCCCCCGTTCCTAAGCACAGCGGCGTACAGACCTCAGCTCTGCCCGAAGACCAGACGGAAGTAAAGCTGTAAATTCACCAGCGCGAAGCTGCGCCGGCTGTTGCAGGCAGCATTAGGCTGAACTTGCCGCTGTCGGCAAGGAGACCGCGGCAAAGGTCAGGTGCTGGGCGGAAAGGGGCAACAGGAGGGTCAGTCACAGCAGCCCATGGCGGCTTTCCACTGGCAGCAAAATCTTTCAACCACATGGCCAGCAGTATCCAGCGTGTGGCTTCACGGAATGGTTGGGGTTGGAAGGGACCTTAAAGACCATCCCGTTCCAACCCCCTGCCATGGGCAGGGACACCTTCCACTAGACCAGGTTGCTCAAAGCCTCATCCAGCCTGGCCTTGAACACTTCCAGGGATGGGGCATCCACAGCTTCTCTGGGCAACCACGCACTGCGTGTCCCATCTGTCCATGCTGGATCTGAGAGCCAGCATACAGGGACACAACACGCAAGGAAGAAGGGGCTGTGAGACGAAGGCGTGAACGAGGGCGGAAGAAGGCACTAAGGCACAGGAGACAGGGAAGGACAGGCGGGAGCACAACACATTGGAGTGCCAGGCAAGGGACAAAGTGGAAGGACTGGATCACAATGAGGAATGGACAAGAGGGTACGTTTGTCAGGAAGGCTGCTCTTCTCCCAGACCAGCCTTCAAGACATTTGAGACGAGGTAAAGACCTCAGAGCTGGAATATATCCATACCTGAAAGTCCCACAGCTACCCACTGCAGCGGGGGCTGGAGGGAGGCACCTGCCCTGGCAATCGCAGGGCAGAGAGAAGAGGAAAGCGGGGCAGGGGGCACTCGGGTAGGTTTTTACACAGCAGCACCGGCGGCGCTTTAGCTACAAACACCTACCCACGCTGCCAACACGGATCGTGCCGCAGCAAAGGCGGAAGAGGCTCCTGGCGGAAAGTGCTAATCCAACAAGTTGGATGCTTTCGGTGCTGCAGGCCACAGGACTGAGAGGGTGCTAAGCTGCCCTGCCCCACAGAAAGGCTGCACCTCTGGGTACAGACGTGGGTTCAAGTCAGAGGTGCCGGGGTAACCGGGACCGCTGACCTGCCGTGGAAACCATGATAAAACACAGCTTCTACAGCAAAACAGAAACTGGTAGGACTGAGAACATGCGACTCTTACTTTCATTGTTTTCCTTTAATAAAGCGTCGTTATCTTCCTCATCTTCATCTTCCCCTGTTTTTATTTCTTCCGAAGGAGGCTACAATGAGAGAACTAAACGTCACTGGAGGAATTCTGCATTTAAAGAGAAATTCTACAGCTCTGATTGTTTCTGGAATGCGTGAGAGAACAGAAAACCCGCCCTGATCCCATCTGAGAATTAAAAACGCCCCGTGGCCTCCCTCTCGTACCCAAACCACTGGTAACAAGCGTTCTCATAAACCACAGACCGCGCTAAGAAGCTGACGGAAGGATGCAGTGACCTCGCAGCATTCTCTCCTTTTCACAGTGACTACAGCGAAGCATTTCATACCTGCCTTTATTATGCACTTCAAAAATAAACACCACCAACTCTCCACGGGATTGCTACCGATGATTGTTTTTCCCCCCCCTCACTCTGGAATTCCTCAGTGTCTTCTGTACTTTCCAACTTCTAGAAGGTGGCAAACACAAACACACTTAACTCTGATTTAGCTGCTGACCAGCCGAGAGAAACAAAAGGCTAACAAAAGGCTTCCTCTCGTCCTATGTTTCAGCCACAGCTGCTGCCCTTCCCTGGCCGCAGCACCGGCTCACGCCTTCAACCAAGGCCCAACCTTCGGCGGGAGCGGTCTGCCCCGCGACACGCCACCCGAGCGGCTGGGTGCAAATCTACTCCTGCCTACC